CTGGCTGGGTGCTGGCAGGCTTGCACCTGGCACGGGCACCATAGCCAGCCCGTGCCCCTTTAAGGGCTCCGGGGCCGGGAGGGGGGCAGAAGAGTTTCCCTGGTGGTGCCCAGAGTGGCCACCAGGGAAATCTGGGGAGGGCTAGCCTCCCACTAGTTCGAATTAAGTGGCTACACAGCCCTTAATTCGAACTAGTTAATTTGAACTAGGCGTTAGTCCTCATAGAATGAGGTTTACCTAGTTCGAATTAAGCGCTCCGCTAGTTCGAATTAAGTTTGAACTGGTGGTTTGCATGTGTAGCGCCTATCAAAGTTAATTCGAACTAACGTCTGTTAGTTCGAATTAACTTTGTAGTGTAGACATACCCAAAGAGAGGACCAGTAGGGAGGCTGGAAGGCTGAGAAAATGTAGCATTGGCAGAAAAGCATCGGTGAGTTACTTATTTAAAACTCATAGATGACTACCCCAAGTTTTGTCATATTATAATTAAACTTAGGAAGAAAGCACCTCTAATGAGCTGCCCATATTCCCTGAAGAAAGTCAGGCTAGGAATTACTGATGCTATCACCTCTTCACAAGGGGACTGTTGTTGTCAAAATCCCTTATTACTTCTAGAAAGTTTAAGACTTCCATTTGAGACTTGTTATAAGCAGAGCAAATACCACAAAGTGACATACGTGCAACGATAATCTAACATGTGGAAGACAGAAGGGACTATTACTGAATACTCAATCACAAGACAGAAGGGACTATTACTGAATCAACTCCTTGCCAGAGGATGTGGTGAAGGCTAGGACTTTAACAAGGTTCAAAAAAGAGCTAGATAGATTCATGGAGGTTAGGTCCATCAATGGCTATTAGCCAGCATGGGTAGGAGTGGTGTCCCTAGCTTCTTTTTCTCTGGAGGTGGATGACAGGGGAGAGATCACATAAGGATTACCTGTTGTGTTCCCTCCCTCTGGGGCATCTAGTATTGGCCATTGTCGGCAGACAGAATACTGGGCTGGATGGACCATTGGTCTGACCCATTATGGCCTATCTTATGTTCTTATCTTAGTGTCTGAAGTGTTATTTTTTGGTTACAGGCTTGAATCTTTCCTAAAATACTCAATGGAAATCTATGCGGAGCAATGACGTTTTCATGTGAGTGAGTCTCCTACCTACTCGCTGTAGGCCTGAAATAATTAAAAACAGCAATGAATGAAGAATTGATTAGAGTTTTTTCTGAGAATGCAGGAAGTCTCCTAAATATCAACAGGAACCAGATCTTAACCAGACTGTTAAGATAAACTTCCCGAGTCCATTATCAAAATGTATCATTTCAGTAACAATATACCCATATATATGTCTTTGTTCCAGTAGTGGCTCTCTAACTCCCAGCCATCCAAATGTGGAACTAACCTTACCTATTTACCTATTTAGAAATTGTTATGGACAAAGGTGGGGGTGAAGGGAACAGCAGAAATGGAAATGGCTAGCTAACAAGAGGAAAGGTCAGGTATAGTATGCATTCTCTAATTTGGTTTCCTGAACCAACCATGTTCTAGTTCAAGGAAGTTACATGTTCAACTGACAGTTTGCTTACAAGTGATAAGCCCACTCTATCCTGGTGAAAATTAAAACTGTTATCTACACTTTCTTCATAAGTATTATAATTCTTTAAATATTTATGAGTCAGTTGCTAACCCATAATTAAATGTTACCCAGAACAAACTTTCTGTCAACAAATTGAATATGAACACTTCTTCTTTGAGTGGTCCCCGTGGGTGCTCCACTCAAGGTGTCGGGTCCGTCCTGGCACCACTGGTTGGAAGATTTTAGAGCCGTAGTCGGCCGGACCACACATGCGCGGCAGCGCTGTGTAGCATTCACGCCCTTTCTAATGTTGCATGGCCTACCTGCCAGTTCCTCTCAACCGTCCTCGGTTGCTGGCGGAGCTCCATATCTCTCCTCAGAGATATAGCCGTCCTGTGAAAAAAGAGTTAAAATTCATTATCCCTTCTTCTCTTAGTTGATTAGTTAGCTTGTTAATTGTTAGTTAGTGTTGTTGTCATTGTTGTTAAAAAAAAAAAGAAATTCCTTCGTTATTTAGTTAGAGTTAGTTAGATTATTAGGTTGTTTGGATTAGATTCCCAGCCAGTGGGATCTAATATGCCTGGATCACCAGGATTTAAACAGTGTTCCCAGTGTAAGGAAGCGATGCCGGCATCTGACGGTAACACTGCATGCATTCGTTGCCTGGGGGACTTGCATGTCCCGCAGAAGTGTATCCACTGTGCCAAGTTAATACCGAGGACACACAGGGATAGGGACATACGCTTAAAGCTCCTACTATGTGATAAGGCACTGCAGCCTTCAGACACTTCCCGCCAGGGATCACTCATGGGGCAAAAAAGAAGGGCGTCATCTCCTGCGGTGTTGGCATCGGAGAAGAAAAAAGCCTCCCCCATATGCTCCCTACCCGCCGTTCCCCTGTCTCGAGTTAGTCAAGGAAACAGGCCGGGTACATCGGGAGTTATTCGGCAGCCCACTAAGACAGCTACACGAGCCATACCTGAGACAACTGCACCACCAATGCGAACACAGGTGGAGCATGATGGCGTCTCAACCGAGGCAATTGGCACCACAAGTGGCACTGCCAAAGCCACTTGAATCGGCACCGCCCCGAGAGCCACAGAATACGCTGGCACCAGAATCGGCACCGATGAGCTGCCAAGAGCCGGCACCGGAGCCGGCACCAGCGAGGGGCTCAGTTGTGGTGCCAGAGGGAACACAATGGACCTGGGAGGGCAGCGTTCCACAGGGTACCGGGATGGCACCAAGAACGGAGTTAACACCAACGATCCCATGCTAGTTCGGCACCGTCTGCGGTGCCACGTAATCCCCAGCATACAGCATCACGAGCACAATGCCGCTGGG